ATTTCAAGTTTACTTTTGTGTATGGTTAAACAATAATCCAGTTTCATTCTCTTGCATGTAGCTGTCCAGTTTTGCCAACACCAGCTGTTGAAGAGGCTGTCATTTCCCCTTTGTATATCCATGGTTCCTTTATCATGTATTAATTCACCATATATGGTTGGGTATATATCAGGGCTCTTTAGTCTGTTCCATTGGTCTATGGGTCTGTTCTTGTGCCAGTACCACATTGTCTTGATTACTGTGGCTTCGTAGTAGAGCTTGAAATTGGGAAACATAGTCCCCTCAGCTTTATTCTTCCCTCTCAGGATTGCTTTGGCTATTTGGGATCTTTTGTGGTTCCATATGAATTTTAGAATGATTCTCTCTAGTTCGTTGAAGAATGCTGTCGGTATTTTGATAGGAATCGCCTTGAATCTGTAGATTGCTTTAGTCAGGATGGCCATTTTGACAATATTAATTCTTCCTATTCATGAGCACGGGATGTGTTTCCATTTATTGGTATCTTCTTTAATATTGGATGAGCTGACTCTTTATGCCTCATTTTTCTTGACATGCAAATCTCAAGCCTTGAATGATACCAAGTTTCTCTTTTCATTTGACTAAAAGTAACATCAACCACAATCATAACTAGGCATTGTAGCATGGTGTGGTTAGGTGAGTCACCTTTAGAGTCAGTCAGATCTGGGTTTGAATCCCAGTTTCTTCCTACCTGTGTGACCTTGGGCAAGTTAATACCTTCTAAACCTCAGTTTCCTCATCTGTAAAATGGGGATAATAATACTTACCAAAGAGGTCTATTGTGAGAATTATATGGGAGCATATAAAGTGGGGAGCATAATGCCTGGTGCTTAGCAAACACTTGGGAAATGGTAGCTGTTGTTATTAATTATACATTTAAGAAAAAGAAATTTCCTATTACATGAAGCTAGTTTAGTTGTTCTACAGCATAGTTACTTATATTTGAAATGTTTCTTTACTTTTGGAAGGCAGTCATTTTCTATAATTGTTGTTTCTTCTACAGCATTTTTTTAGCAGACCTTAACTTCAGGATTCCCTTTACTAACTGTTTCTGGTATTTTTTGAAATGCATACTTTCTTACTTGAACTTTAGTATATATAGGTAATTTGGCTGTGTGTTCAGTCTATAACTGCACTTTTATTTACCCACAAGTTCAAGAGGAAAAGTTATTCCCTCCTAAGTGAATAGGAATGTTAGACTATTTAAGAGTCAGAAGTCTGGTGTACTTTTTAATTCTGTCAAAACCAAGATCCTAACCTCAATACCAACCTTTCACACAGAAGGCAGCTGATCGGGGAAGGTCCTGGAGAAAGGGAGGGCTGTTAATGAAATAAACTTTTTTTTGTGTTTTTTTTTAAGCATTTTCTCCTTCCTTGTCTTTCCATGAAAGGGTCGTGAAAATGAGCCAAAGATTGCACAGCGTTGACTTCAGGCCAACCAGGGTTTTGAGTTCATGCTATTTGGTGCTTAAATGAGTCAACCTTGTGAACTGCAGTGTAAATGCAGGGGACTCCTAATGTTTCAAAGGGGATGAAGGATTCTTTAATTTTTTCCCTTTAGTGGAAGGTATATACTGAAGGATTCTGAAGTTAAGACCTACAAGAAAAATCAGCTAAGAAGACAAGTCACTCCCATCCCTTCATGCACCAAATTTAAATGACCTAGGCATATTCAAATCAATGTTTCTCATCTAAATTATTCATAAATGAAATGAAGTGATTTCCAATGACAAAGAAAATAAGAAAAATAAAAGCTCAAGTTGGTTTTGCTAAATTCCAGAGTAGGATTCTCAAAGTTGGGAGTGGATCAGAATAACTGCGGGAGCTTATTCAAAATACACATCTCTGGGCATGTGTATTTTACCAAGCTTCCTAGGTTGTTGTTACTAATTTTTCCCTAAATTAGTCTTCAGATGCAGGCCAAAGTTAAAGAATGATTGTGCTATGATGAGTCATAATATTTTGACAAAGAATTAACTATTCTAATAGGATTAACACAACCTAATTTTAAGAATGGAATATGTACTTGGATTACCTTTTACACTTAAAAAGGGAAAAAAAGGCTTTGCCTTTGTTAGCATTTGTTAAGGACAAAATTAGCTGTTTTGGATGCCTCAGAATTGAGTTCAGAAATGTTTTTAGATCTTTGCTTGCTGTGGATTTGATTTTCTTCTGAAAAGTGGAGGAAGTGTCTGAGTAGTACAGTCTTAGAGTAGTAGAAGGCAGCATTTTAGAACCTGGCTGACATTCCTAAGTTTATTCAAGTTTTTGTCTTAATGGGATTTTGTTTTCAGACAGGAGTCCACAAACACTTACCACATCAAAACATTGTCTTACTTTTTATGAGATACTATTATATGTCTATATCAAGCTTGCTAAATTGTTTCCATAAGAAATAATTGGAAGACAGTTTCTATTTGGATGACCTCCAAATACTCAGTGTCTAATATTTTAGTATATAGGACAACATTTTTTAATCTCTGTACTTAGCCCCATCTTTTAAAGCATAGTTTTTTCATGGAGTACTGTGCAATGCTAGTTAGTTATATATATCAATCTTTTTGTGTTTATAAATAAAACAGAAAAATGGGGGTGGAGGGCTAAATTACCAAGATAAAATGACCAGTCCTTTTAAACCATAACCATAAAAAGTGTTCAAGGTCCAAGTGATATACTACAGTCAACATCAGGTATCATGATTTGAGAGCTCACGATTTTCACTTGTAGGTATTTACAGCACAGCTAACACTTGGAGATCGGCACTGGGAAGCTGAGGGAACTAGTATTTAAACAGCCCAACACACAGCTGCTGCGAAAGCTTTGGAAGGAACAAAATTTCCTAAACCCATAGTCCACCCTTTCGTAGTGAAGGAAGGAATCCAGGTATTAGGCATGGGCCAAGCCAGGTTCCTTTCAGAAGTGTGTCTAGAGGTATTATTTAGTATGTGTATGAATTCTTTCTTAACTAACTTATGGGCCAAGCCAGGTTCCTTTCAGAAGTGTGTCTAGAGGTATTATTTAGTATGTGTATGAATTCTTTCTTAACTAACTTAATGATTTTGAAAGTGCAGAATCTATACTACCAGTGGCAAATAATTACCTTTCAAAATCTTTAACCTTACTCTATCTACAGCAGTGGTTCTCAATCTATGGTCCCTCGACTCCTGATGATCTTAGAAATTTCACCAGTTTCTAAGATTTCAGAAAAGCTTAATGAGAATACATTTTTCTTCCCTTGAAAGGTTGTACAGATTGCCAAGAATGTAGGTTTTTAGCTGAAATCTTTTCAACTTAGTGTGGTAATATCGATTATAACATGTTGATCAGAAAGCCTCATTGTCATTATGTCTTCTGATCATTAAAAAAAAATGAGAAAATAAATATTTGTTACTAAATACAAATCAGGAGATAATAATATCTCTTCAAACAAGGGATCCAGGCAGGGAGAATAGTAATAAAGAACATCATCCGGTGAAAGGTTGCGAGGCCCTGGCCTGGTGTCCCCGGGTAGCAGAGGCTGTCACAGCAGGGTTCCTTCTCCCCTACTTGAGGTCGCCTGCCCGCCCCTTTGTGGGCAGGAAGGGATCCAGAGGGCCTTGCTCACACCTTTCTCGTTGCTTTTGATTTCTTCATGGTGTTTTTCAAATTCATTCTCTACTGCAGATACATTTTATGGGTCAGAGCTGCTCTTAAAATGATTCAGGTTATGTTTAAAAGGCAGCTATATGAATTATGTAAAAATACACTTCTGATGTTAGGAAGACAGAAGTTAGTTACTCACGTGACCCTCTGATTTTGAAAACTCAAAGATACTCCTACAAATTTGATTCATGCACTAAATTTAGTCAAACCAGTTATAGTACTGAATCAACTCATTTTTTATTTTCTCTACACACATCCTAAAGAGGCATTTTAAGGTGGATATTTGTGTGCATTTGCCATTGTTAGTGTTTGTATTTTATATGGAAGTGTTACTTTTAAATGTCATTGTTCACTGACACTGATCTTTCTAGGCTGGTTTTCTTTTTAAGTGATTTTTAAAGGCTAATGGATTGGATTAATTGAGGGGGAAAAAACTGGAAAAAAAATAGTGTGTATTTTCTAAAGCTGGTAAATCTGAGATAACCCAAAATATATTTGCTCCTGTTGTACATGGAAACAGTTATTTTTCTAATAAGTATCACCACAGGTCAAATTCTGATATAAATATCAACAGTGGAAATACCTGAATATTTTGTGGGTCTCATCTGACTTCTGCAGATAGAATTTACTTGCCGCCTCCTCAGTGAATCTATACCCTTCTTATAGCGTACATTCTGTTGCATTGTAGTTCTTCGAGTGTGTTTGTATTCTTTGTACTCCTCTGGGGCAAGAATTGTGTCCTCAAACTTATAAGTACATTGTTCTTTGAAATAGCTTGTATAGACATACTTCTAATAGTAAATTGATAACCCAGTCAGTTATCACAACCAAAGTTATACTAAGTATTCTCAACAAAATGATTTGGACAGTCACATGGGATTTTTTAACCACAGAATTTGGTATGTATGGGAACTTATTTCTGACAACTGGAATGTGTGGCTTTCACTAATAACATCTTGTGTTAGATTGTTGCTCCCTCTAATAGCCCTTAGAGTGTATTTCATGCTGTTGACTGACTGTATATTAATATCTAGAAATCACAGCAGATTTTTGGGTATCCTGACCTGATGCCTAGCAGTGAAATACTTAGATTTTTCCATGAGCTGCATCATGAAGCCAATTAGTAAATAGTATGCTATTTTTTATTTTAGTGACTGTCATTCTTATATCAGAACAAAACCAGTTCTTTTGTTGATTCTGTGTTGCAGGAAGTGTGACCCCTACTGTAGAGCTAAATGCACTGTGCGTGAAACTTGGAAAAAAACCAATGTATAAGCCTGTCGACCCTTACTCTCGGATGCAGTCCACCTATAATTACAACATGAGAGGAGGTGCTTATTCCCCAAGGTACATACGTGTTTGTTTTAAATACAGGTTAAACTATATCTGATCTTTTACATAAAATAATAAAATCTGTAGATTGTGGAGAGTGTGATGATTTGGTCATCTCTAGGCCTGCCAAAAGTTGAAATCAGTCCTAATTGTGCCTGTGCTTTTGGAACTGTGTCTTGATGTTCTTTTAATTCCTGTCACTGGAAAGGGACTGAACATACTCCTCACTAGTAGTATGGCTGTAACCCCAAACAATCTGGTTAAAGACCACCCTTGTAACTGCTTTGTGTAAGCGAATCATACTTTAACAGGATTCCTGCAATGCCATGGTTCTCAGTATTCATAGATCCCCTGTTACTGTTTATTTGGTACTTTTTGACTTTTGAACTTACGTGCTTTGTAAATAATGTTGAAGTAAAGTTGCAGTAAAATATTAATTGAAACCTGAAGATGCCATGTGTTAAAAACCCATTGGCAGTCATAAGACATTAGTAGATAGATTGATGTGGAAGTCTTCACTTCTCTGCCCAGCTTAGGGCAAAGCCATTTATTTTATTTTATTTTTTTTTTGAGAGGGCATCTCTCATATTTATTGATCATATGGTTGTTAACAACAATAAAATTCTGTATAGGGGACTCAATGCACAATCATTAATCAACCCCAAGCCTAATTCTCAACAGTTTCCAATCTTCTGAAGCATAACGAACAAGTTTTTACATGGTGAACAAGTTCTTACATAGTGAATAAGTTCTTACATAGTGAACAGTGCAAGGGCATTCGGTTTTGATCACACATCATGAACTATAAACCATCAGGTCAATTATGCTTATTCGTTTGATTTTTATACTTGATTTATATGTGAATCCCACATTTCTCCCTTATTGTTGTTATTATTATTATTTTTAATAAAATGCTGAAGTGATAGGTAGATACAAGATAAAGGTAGAAAACATAGTTTAGTGCTATAAGAGGGCAAATGTAGATGATCAGGTATGTGCGTATAGGCTAAGTATTAATCTAAGCTAGACAAGGGCAACACAACATCCACGGCTGCAGAAGATTTCTCTCAAAACGGGGGGTGAAGTTCTAAGCCTCACCTCTGTTGATCCCCAATTTCTCACCTGATGGCCCCCCTGCGACTGTGACTGTCTTAGGTTGTCCCTCCCTTAGGAATCTTACCCGTCTCTGGCTAACCACAGTCATTTTCCGGGGCCATACAGGGAAATGTAAAGTTGGCAAGTGAGAGAGAAGCAATATCGTTTGAAAAGGTTAGCTTTTTACTTTTTGGGCAAAGCCATTTTAAAAATAAAAGTTGTGATGTAGGAAATCAGGCTCGGCCAGGCTGTGTAGGCTGTTAAGATTTCCAGGAAGGATGGTCCTCTCTAAAATACTTCTGTTTAAAACTATCCAGCCTTTTCTGGATACATGCAAGTGTGAATCTCACACATGAGAAAGTAGAACAAGTTTTCTGTCTCAGCCAAAGCCTAATACATTTTAGATTTTGTGTAAATATGGGTTAGCATTATAAATTGAACTCACGTTATTTGTAAGCCAGTGTATTTTGCTGAACATAAGTATGCTTGCTCATACTGTGTGCCAGTTCTAATCTAGTGTAAACTTACAAAATCTCTGGGTATACTGATGAGGAATCAGTATTGGCAACCAAATACTAATGTGACTAAGATCCACGATGAAAGAAATACCCGGAATTTGCCAGAGAATATGTAGGTGACCTGTCAATCTGAGATTGTAATCTTCCTAACCCCCTTTTACTTTTAGGTACTTTTACCCATTTCCAGTACCACCTTTACTTTATCAAGTTGAACTTTCTGTGGGAGGACAGCAATTTAATGGGAAAGGAAAGACGAGACAGGCTGCGAAACATGATGCTGCTGCGAAAGCTTTGAGGATCCTGCAGAATGAGCCCCCACCTGACAGGCTGGAGGTAAGGAGGGAACAGAGCTCCAGCCCCTTGACACCTCAGGCAGAGCAGGAGATGGAGTGTGAAAGACTTCGTCTCAAGTTGCTTTTTCTAAGAAGTGCGTTGGGGCTGTCTAATTTTTATTTGATAGCTTACAAGATTTTGTGTACCCTGTAGTTTCGTTGCCTTTTTTCTCTTTAAAAGAATTTCTTAGTAAGAAAATCAGATGCCTTCTTTTTCACTCTGTGTTTCACTCATAGTTTTGAGTGAACTTGTTAGAAAGATTGTGACTCCGTTGAATTGTGAAGAACATGTGTGGATAAATTCTCCGGTGCTAAAGGTTGCGCTTGTCAGAATCTACTGTGATTTATGATACCAGGTTAGAGAATTTCTGAAGCCATTTTTGACCAGGCACTTGTTCTTTATAAAGTGCCAGTTATTTATTGCTGCATAACAAATCATCACAAAACTTAGTGGCCTAAACACCTGCCAGCATTTATTTTACTCACAGATCTGCAATTTAAGCATGGCTTGGCAAAGGAGCTGTCTTTGCTCCACATAGCCCTGGCTGAGGTGGCTCTTCAGGGGCTGAAGGATCCACTTTCAGGATGGTTCCTTCTTCTGGTGAGTTGGGAATGGCTGTTGCCTGGAACTAAGCAGGGACTATTTCCTTGGGGACCTCAGTTCCTCTCTTAGTTAGCCTATGCAAAGACTGCCTACACATCCTCATGGTATAGTGCTGGGTTCCAAGAATAACTCTCTTTTTGGGGGCAGAAAATGGAAGTAGGTTCCAGTTTCTTAAGTCCTGGGCTCAGAAATCACAGCTTCGCCTCTGCTGTATTCTACAGGTCAAGCAGACACTGAGCCCAGATTCAAAAGGAGGATATATAGAATGTTATTTTTTTTTTAATTATTGAGGTAAAATTCAAATACCAAACTAACAGTTTTAACCATTTTAAATGTATAATTCATTGGTTTTTAGTACATTCACAATTTTGGACCCCCAACTTCTGGATGAGAGGAGAGTCAAAGAATTTGGGGGTCATGTTTTAGAACTACCACAATAGGAAAAGGATTTTAACTCCTTGTGACTAAATAAGGGTATGGGTCTTGGGAAATCAGTGACTGTGCCCTGATGGGCCAAAGTGTGAGTGATTATCTCTGGTAAGACAAAGTCTTATCACCAGAAGTCCAGAAGAAGCCCACTGAGGAGAAAACATTGGGATTTCATGGCTCTGTTTACTCAGCAGGAAATGCCTCCTGAAAGTACTCCTAGGAAGCATTTGACTTCTCTTCAAGAAACAAGTTCACAAAGAATAAGAAGGTCTTGCACAGAACATTGGGCTAAATGTATGCTGATAGGCCCCCGGGGGCCCAGCTCCAGAGTGGGGTTCTCCAGATGGTGCTGTGTGGCTACATGGCTGGCCGCACAGGAGGGTGTTATTTTTTGTTTCAGTACATTTCAATTTTCCAATGTAATCACACGTCTTAACGATGCTGATCTATTTCCAGGGTCCACTGAGGACCAAGTAAAAGAGAATGACTGGAACTTAGGAGATTTAGGGCAGTTAAAAGATGAGCTTCTCAGTGATGAGACCTGTTAAAATACCAGAAGGTAGTATAATCTGTCATTTTGGAAACTTCATTTTTTTTTTTGAGAGGGCATCTCTCATATTTATTGATCAAATGGTTTTAACAACAATAAAATTCAGTATAGGGGGGTCAACGCTCAATGTACAATCATTAATCCATCTCAAGCCTAATTCTTGTCAGTCTCCAATCTTCTGAAGCATAACGAACAAGTTCTTACATGGTGAACGAATTCTTACATAGTGAATAAATTCTTACATGGTGAACAGTACAAGGGCATTCATCACAGAAACTTTTGGTTTTGATCATGCAATATGACCTATAAACAATCAGGTCAAATATGAATATTCGTTTGATTTTTGTACTTGATTTATATGTTGATCCCACATTTCTCCTATTATTATTATTATTTTTATTTTTAATAAAATGCTGATGGAAACTTCATTTTTTTACTTGACTTTGGTGCTGATCTAACTGGAGTCAGATGGAGCAGGTATTTTTCAGTTCCTTCTAGCCAGCAGTTGTTGCATGATTGCTAAACACTGGTATGTGCGTTATCTGCTTCAGAATCACTTGAGAATAAAAAAAAATTCTTTGGTCCAACCCACACAATTCTACCAAAAGTCTGTCTTTTGCTTTTTTTCTTTTTAAATGTGCTCTTGGAGTAATTCTAAAGCGTGGTCAGGGTTTGTGAACTACAGATCTTCAGTATTATTGGGGCTTCCCAGGCAGTTTCCCTGCTTGGAATCCTGCTTGTAAGTATTCACAGTATTGCTTGAAAGGAAAAGTGCCTTTGGTGTCTCCGAGCCCAGCCGAGCTGACTCCACGGGTTGGTTAGCTGAGGCCGGAGGGCTGAGGCCATAGGAGACATGCTCCTTCTGAGTGCCTTGGACAGTCCAAGGAGCTTTGTTGGGAATCACATTAAATCGACTTGTTCCCCTTGTTTGCTGTCTGCCCTTTTTCTACTTCTGTGTGGTTTGAAGTAGAGACAGTGCCCTTCAGAAATGACACAAACACTGACCTTAACTCAGAAACCAGAATTGTTAATTAGGGTAAGACATTTTCTTTGAAGTAATAAATAAAATGCTTGGCTGCTTGCCTAAATGAGCTGCCCCCGGATTTATCAGGCCCCCTTGTAGGTGGGTAGTAGGGGGTAAAAAGATAACTTTTTTTTTGAACTATAAAATATTTTAAATCCAAAATTTTAAAAAGAAAAACATGCTTTATAAATTTACCACTTATAATCACTGTAAACATTTCAGTGGATGTCAGTACACAAACAAGTAAACACATACACCTGTTTCACAAAAATGGGGTGATATTGTACAGTGATCACCTTTTTCACTGAAGTGCTTATCATGAGTATGTTATTATGCCATTTATGTGTAATTCCCTGAAGGACTCAAATTCATTATGTATCGAAGCACTTAATGTATGCAAAGTTTTTTGTGTGAACATACAGTTTATTTTTTAAATAGAGGCTTGGATATTTAGGTTGCTTACAGTTTTTCCTTTTATAAAATAGGTAGTGAAGAACATTATTATAGTTAAATCTTCGTGTATGTCTGACTATTTTTATGAAACACAGTCCCAGAAGTGGAGTTGCATGGTAGTATATGTAGTCAAGAAACATCTCCCCACCAGAAAGATGGTACTATTTGGGTACCATTTTTAGACCTCTAAAAGCAGACTGATTTCCTGTGGCTTGCCAACATTGCAAATAATCATTTTAAACAAATTATCCATTTTGCTGTTGAAAATTTGTAGGACGTGTGGTTGTGTGGTGGGTCAGTTTGTCTTCTCTAGAACATGGCCAATAAACTCGGCAGTTTCTCTCTAGAAGACATAGTCTGGCCCTTTAATGACGGTAATTTGTGCTCGACACTGGAGGAAAATGGCAGCGACACCCCTTCCCCTGTGGAGCTTAGTTGAATGGAGCTGACAGACAGTAATGTTAATATCATCAAAAAGTACAGTGAGTGCTAAGGTGGAAAAGTTAGCAGGCATTATGAGAGCATTAAATGTCTCCTTTAGATCAGAGTAATGGTGGTGCATTCAGAGAAGTCCTCTTAGAGGAAGAATCACTTAAGCTGAGACTAAAGATGAGCAAAAGAACAAAGGGAGCAGTTTATGTAAAGGTCCTGAGTTAGGAAAACACCCAAAAATCTAAGGCTTGTGGTAATAAGGATGATTTTTAGTCAGTGTCAAAGCTGTTAGGAGCAAGATGGTCATGGCTATAATATCTGGAATAGAGACAAACAGGAGCTAGCCTAAATATCCATTAGTAGGGAAATGGTTAAATGAATGGCTCCATTTATCCCAGGGAATACCAGAATGTAGATCTGCATAGCATACCTGGGCATGAAAGGAGGCCCATAATCTCTGAAGTGGGGTATTTAAGATTCAGAACTAAAGTTAGGTGTATAGTATAATCCTGTTTGTATTTAAGTAAACAAAAGTACCAGCTGTGTGCATATGTATGCATATGCTTAGATGTGCATGGTTTCTATCTTGGAGATAACAGACTTGAAAACTAGTTTTCACCTGGTGGTTGTGGTAGAAGACAGACTTTTAAAAAAAATCGTATTGTGTGAAGTTTAGTATTATGTTACTACTCTTGTAAAATTAAATAAGTGAGCTCTTCTTAGTCTTGAATCCTTATCTTCACTTGGGCCAGAGACATATTTAGGTGGAACTAAAACTGAAATTGGAGACCTGGATCCTCATTAGACTATCAGAATCCATTAGTTCCAATTTTCATTTTTGACCTTTTTAACTCTGTAAGGATTGATAGTGTATGACTTTTCTTTTTCTTGAGAGGACTTGAACCAAGAGAAAATTTGTACTTTTAATAGACTAAGACTCATTCTGTCTTAACAGTGATCATGTGAGTCCTTTGGTCCCTTCTATAAATCTTTACATTGTAGAATCTTAAGCATTTTGCTGTTTGTCATTCTACATATCATTTCAGCAGTATTCATCATATATTCCTAAATATGCTAAGCAAGACTAAAATAAGAAAATGGAAGAGGAATGAAATCCCTAGGTGGATGATACAGTAATGAAATAACTGTCATTACTGCCTTATCCTTTAATGTTCTTACTGTATTGCCTAATCTATTGCATCATCTTTCAAGAAGATACAAAAGACTGGACACACCATCCTTTAACTCTACTTTGAGCTTTCATTGAGCTCAGGTGAGAATTCAGCTTTTTCTTTTTCCATCTCTAATGGCAAAGAGAAGAAAACTGACTAGGAACACATTTTGATTATTAGACAAATCAGAAGATGAATGCGAAGAGACAGATAGCAACTCACTAGATGCTACGATGGTGGTGAAATTGAGTGTTTAAGTGAAATCTCAGCTTGTGAGTCTTCAGGTGATAATCTCAGATAAATTTTCTCAAACTCAAAAATTGGCAAGTGAACAGTTTCTGTTATATACAGAAAGGAATTGTGTATTCTCTTTTGGTCAGTCATTCAGGAGGAAAGACTTTGTCGCATAGTATTTTGCAACAAGAACCTGGACTATCCTGTTTTTTTTTTTTTAAAGTATGTGTGACAACATCTTCTATGATTCTTGGCCACCAGAATTTCTCACCATTTACTGTCCACAAAATAAGTGGACAGATGCAAACGGAGGTGTGTGTACAAAGGTGATTAGAAGGATATAGATGATGCGATGATGAAAAAGTACCATTAGCTTGATCCTTCTTTTGGGGTTTGTAAATCTTAGAAATGAAAGCATTTGTAGTTATGGAGTAAAGAAGATGGCTGTTCTCTCTTCAACAAAATTATGGGTCAGTTTCAAAAGAAGTGTGTTTTGACAATACCAGTACAAGAAGAATCAGAAGTCACGATAAGCTAGAACCATTTGGAGATGCATTTGAAATAATGTACTGTTCCAAGCAGGCTGTGTGTTAGGCTCAGGCATGCCAGCTGATGAGCAGTCAGTTGCATTCATGGACCTTGCCTGTTTTGGGTGCAGATACCCTTCAAACTACAAAGATGGGGTAAAAACTTGGGTTTGCTATTTTAAATTCTTATTAAAATCTCTGTGAAATGATTTTTGTTGTCCTTTTATTCTGTATATTATTTGTAAAATGACTTTAAATATAAACTAATAAAAAGGGTCTATTGGAGCCAGATGGTAAATGGTAATGACTATTTTTTCCTGGCATACTGAGGGTTAAGCATGGTTCAGAGTGTTTTTTTCTTTTCTTAATGTTGCCTAGATTTTATTGCTGAACCATACACTATGGAATTGATGTTAACAGTAATTCCACTTCATGAAGGTAAGCCTAAGGGCCCACTACACTTTCCCCATTTTGCTGGGAATGGTATTTGTGGATTTGTTTTGAGTCATTCTGCTGCTTCCCCCATTGCAACATTTTGTCCAATCCAGATGATACCAAATTATTTATGTAAAAGAGCACATAATCTCACTTCCAGATAAATGTATATATCTTTGTTTCCTGTTTTGCATTTTTATTTTACTGGCTGCTTTGTCCTATTGAAAGTCCTTTGGAAGGCAATGGCTTAGAGCAGTGAATTTCAACTCTGGTTGCTAGTAAAATCACCTGGGATCTTTAAAAAAAAAAAAAACAACCATAAATAAAATGAATATTCAGGCCCTGCCTGCAAAATTTTGAGTTCACTTCTCTGGAGTGGGGCTCTGGCATCTGTCCTTGTAAATCTTCCAAGTGATTCTAATGGTGTTGTGGTTGAGAACCACAGATTTAAAGTTTAGAATTCAGCTGTAGACCATTGTTTTTTATCAGACTTACGTGGAACCTCAGTATATAAAATAGAAAGGTAGCATTTCATACTATACACTTGTAAGTTTGAATTTTATAATATTTAAACAATCTGTGAGAATAATTTATGTGAATTTTCAAAACAAAATTTTTGTCTATCAAGAAAAACATGGCTGGGAAAGACATAGTCCCATTTTAAAACAATGGTTCACTCTGTTATGCGAAGGAGGGTGAGAAAGGCTTCATTGTTTTCCTTAAAAAAAGGAAAGAAAATTTTATGTCACTAATACTTAATGATGACATCTGTTAAATCCAGCACAAATACTTGTTAATTTGTACTTTTCTGTACATATGAAATGTCATAATTAAAAGTTAAAACTAATTGGGCTGGTAAAGCCAACAACAAATTTGAAAACTGGGGTGGTACGTACATGGCAATTGAGGTCTTTTGTCAGCCTCAGCACCCAGTTTATTCCCCAGTTTTGTCTGGTTGCACATAAGAGAACATTCTCATTCACATTACTTAGCAAGAGAGGGAACCATTTTTAAAAGGTCATCTATTTAAAATAAAAAACTGGATGCTCTTCAAACAGCTGTCAAAAACTTTGTTGTGCACAAAAATGAGCTAACCTGTTAGCACAAGTTAATGCATTGTCTCTAGTGTATGAGTATTTGATATAAACACATTTTTTGTTGCTTTAAAAAATTAAGGTAAAATACACATAACAGATTACTGTTTTAACTATTTTTTAAGTATACAGTTCGGTGGCATTAAAAATATATTCTCATTGTTTTTCAGCTATCACCACTATTCATTTTCAGAACTTCTTTATCCCACATTGAAACTCTGTATACGTGAAACAATTAACTTCCCCTTTCCCCTGGTAACCTCTATTCTATTTCTGTATCTCTGCATCTGCTTATTGTAGATACATCATAGAAATGGATATTTGTCTTTTGTGTCTGGCTTATTTCACTATGTTTTCAAGATTCATCCATGTTGTAGCATGTTTCAGATTTTCATTTCCTTTTTAAGGCTGTTGAATAATAGTCCATTGTGTGACTGTTCCACATTTTGTGTACCCATTCATCTGTTGATGGATGTTTGGCTATTGTGAATATGCTTCTGTGAACATAGGTGTGCAGATATCTGTTTGCACCCTTACTTTCAGTTCTTCTGAGTATATATATAGAAGTGGAATTGCTGAATCATATATATAATTCTATGTTTAACTTTTGAGGAACCACCTAAATTTTCTACTGAGGCGGCCCTATTTTACATTCCCACCAGCAATGTACAAGGCTTCCAGTTTCTCCGTTTCCTTGCCAACACGTGGGTTTTTTTGTGGCCATTCTTACGGATGTGAAGTGGTATCTCATTGTGGTTTTGACTTGGATTTCCCTCATGATAGTGATGTTCAGCATCACTTCGTGTGTTTGTTGGCCATTTTTGTTATCTTCTTTGGAGAAATACCTATTTAAATACTTCTCCCATTTTTGAATTGGGTTGTGTGTTGTTGAGTTGTAGGAATTCTTTATATATCCTGTATATTTATCAAACGTATGACTTAGAAATATTTCCTCCCATTCTGTGGGTTTTCTTTCTTGGTAGTGTCCTTCGATGCACAAAAGTTATTCATTTTGATGAATTTCAATTTATCAATTTTTTGTTGTTGCCTCTGCTTTTGCTGTCATTCAAGAAATCATTGCCAAAGCCAGTGTTACAAAACTTTTCCCCTATGTTTTCGCCTAAGAGTTCTATAATTTTAACCCTTATGCTTATGTCCTTGATCCATTTTGAGTTAATTTTTGCATATGGTTTAAGATTAGGGTCCATCTTAATTTTTTTGCATGTGGATATCTGGTTTTTCCAGCAACATTTGTTGAACATACTTTTTAAAATAGTCTTTTTTAATTTTTTTAGCTTAAAACCTATTTAAAAAATAAATTTCAAACAAACCTCTTTGGAGACCCATGCTTCTGAAGCACCTTGCTTCAAGATTTCTGGTTTTTAAGGATTCACTCATGAAGAGGCCCTCTTTCTGTTTAGAAGTTAAACAAGAATGAAAATGTGTTTAGGTTAATAAACCACCAGAAATGCTATGCAAATAGTTTTGGCTAGGCAGAGAGTGAAGTGAAACCATACTGGAAAGAAAACATTACCATAATGGAAGGGGAGACAGAATTATAGTGTCTGGGATACATTTACTTATATAAGATTATACTTGATTGTATTAATGATTTTTTTAAACTTGAAGTTTTATTTCTTTTAATTACAGCTTGAAATATTGATCCATTCTAGGTAAAGGATTTACATGATAAATGTAAAGAAGTGCACAGCAGATAAAATCCTGCATAGTCCTGCACCTTGCTGATTCAGTAATTTCAGTCACGTGTTCCTTTCAGATACTGGGTGCTAATTTGGAAATAGGATTTTACAAATTCTTTGACAAGAGTCCCAATAATATGAACAAAAATACAGCTGTGGGTGACACTTTGCTATTACTGAGCTTATCTAGTTTCTCATATTATCACTGCAGTGCAGTAGAGAATCCATGTTTATCAGCATGCACAGAGATTATCTCTGCCCCTCTTTAATCCCAGCACAGAGATTATCTCTGCCCCTCTTTAATCCCAGCACAGAGATTATCTCTGCCCCTCTTTAATCCCAGCACAGAGATTATCTCTGCCCCTCTTTAATCCCAGCACAGAGATGATCTCTGCCCCTCTTTAATCCCAGCCCTGGCTGGAGAATTGTAAATGAACCTCTTATGAAGACAGAGTCTTGGCTTTTGTTCAGGGGACTTGATTAGTTTGCACGTTGCAATTTTGCCGGCAGCATTGAGTATGAGACACGCGGCACTTCTGTAATTTGTTTCACTGCATCCTTTTTAAAAAAGGGGTTTCCAGGGACTCTATGTCAAGTAAGAAACTTTACTTAGGTGCAGAGACTTCTGTTTGAATTTGCCGTGTCCCACACAGATCTGTCTGTATTTTGACTTTCTAAAACATGGCTTGCTAGTCCCCTGGGTCCCGGTCCCTGGAAGCCACTCTTCCTGACCAGCTATGGCCTCTTGCTGTACCACAATGAGGCTGATACATACCCAGAGGTCTGTTAGGTGTGGATTGCTTGCAGTGGATTTTTGAGGTATCAGCTGACCCAAGTTTGAAAGAAAGGACACTTTTTTTGGCCTTTGACATTCACTGGCACATGGTATGCATGTGGCTTTGTTCACTGGGTTAGTGCTCAGGCCATAAAGCCAAGGTTCAGTGTTTTTAAAGTTTATCATCACAGTTGGGATGTTGACAGTTTTAATAGAAGTTGACTGCAAAACGATTATTCTTCCTTTAGGTGAATGGAAGAGAATCGGAAGAAGAAAATCTCAATAAATCTGAAATAAGTCAAGTGTTTGAAATTGCACTTAAACGGAACTTGCCTGTGAATTTTGAGGTAAGCTTATTTTACATGTGGGACTCCGTATTGTAAAATACTGGTGGCATTTAGCATCGGAATTTGCTTTTAGTGAATAACTGGAGTAATAATCATATATATGGGACCTTTCAAATTGAAGATTCAAACTTTGTATTTAGCAAAGCAATATTTATTCACCTTTTCTAGTTAAGAACAGCCATTGATCTCTAGATGGTCCATGGGTGGCATCAGTTGGTCTGTGTACATCCTGACATGGTTTGATAAATACTGTATTTATGTTTTAGTGTGTATTCTTCTGGAGAGAAGGGTCCATTGTTTTCATTAGATTCTCTAAAGTATCTCTTATTCCAGAGTATTAAGAATTTCCTTAACAATCCCTAGAAATCTTGTCAGAGTAATTGTTACAAGGACATAGGTTTTGTCGTTGTCCAGCATCTGCCGCCCAATTCACCTGTGATAATAACTTCTTTTGTTTTTGGACACTTTATGGTTGAAAAATAAAATGGGTTTTTAGTTCAAAATGGAAAGTAAGGTACATTTAAGTATGTGTTTTCTTCAAAGACACAGTAAATCCAAATAGACTAGGCAGGTAAGGAAGGATTTTTTTTAAGTTTCCCTTAATGATCTGACACATGGCAAATTCTTTGCAAATTCTTTTGATTTCCATGCTTAGTTATGCAAGGTTGTTTTTTAATAATAGCACATCAATTCTTTAGTCTTTCAAAGTTAAAAAGACTATATATATGTTAGTCTTCCAAAGAGCATTAAACTTATACTTTGTTATTAGGCAAATGTAACTTGAGGTGGGATATCTGCTTAAAACAATTTTAAGTGGTTCATAAACATTTTTTGGCCTGTTTCTTTTTAAAAGCCCATCTGAAGTTTATTATTCCGTAAAATAGTTTATAATGTTGTAGCATTTTTGAATTTATAGGTGATCCCCAAATTTTCGTGCCTGACTTTCAGAAAATACCTACCTTCTGTTAAGTGCCAGTACCCTAAACTGGCTTCTGAACTCAGTCCTCAATCCATCAGCTAGGTAATGGTGATTTCTGACCTACACCTGGCAGTACTTACCTTCCTGCCGTGGGTAACACGTAGGGATAGGAAGTTGGACTTGGATAACAGGGCAACCCTGTGTCCGCCCCCACCCCCTCCATCCTGCCCTGTCCTGGCAGGCAGGACAAGGTTTATATTGTCCCCTTGGAGTGCAGAGCCCCATATGGACCCAGCCCGAGTATTTTCTACATCTTCCAGCCTTTCTCCCTCTCTTGGGGGTAGGTCTTGGGGAGAGGACCTACAGAGTGAGAGGGCTAGTAGTTGGTTAGGAACTAGGTGGGAGCTTCACCCCAAGAAACCATGAGATCTCCCTGGGTACTTACTGAAGGAAAGGAAAGGAAAGAAATGCTTCCTTTCTCTCCCTGCTGAGGGATTAGTAGGTCATGAGAAAGGATTTCTAAAGATTGGAGGGTAGGGTCAAGACTGTGGGAGTGGGGAGTGCCTGGCTTCCCAGGTTACCCCTGGGTTACAGAGGTGACTACTGGGGCCAGGGTCCTGGATCCCTGTGAAGCTGCCACCTGCTTGCACTAGTTGCTACCCTGCCTGCGAAGCCTCAGAGCTTTCTGGAACTGCAGTGAGGGATTCCTGTTTTATGTTTTTGCTCTGTGGTATTTGAGGACCAGATTGCTTCTGTCCCACCTCCACTTTTGCTTAGGTTTCAGGTTTGGCTTTCAAATTTGTATTCAGGAATATGTGACATGGCAGGGAACTGTCAAGTAGTCACCCCTGGGAGTGCCCTCTGGCGGTGAATACCTTTTAAAGTGATAGTCTATAAACATTACATTTTGAGCATAGGAGGTAGTATATTGAGTTTGTTATGATGAGTACTTATATTAAATAACTCTCACATATCAAAGGTTCATATTAGCTTCCATTATTACCTTGAGCCAGGGCTTTCGTATTTTGTTTTCTTTCTTTCTTTTTTTCCTCACAGTTCTGTCTCTGGCAACCGGAAGATTGCCTGACATTGGATGCTCAGGAAATAGTTATAAATGAACAAAATATATATTTTTCAGTTAAGTTTTTGATAGTAAAATCTGTTACATAGGAAGCTGTGTTAGGTATTTAACAGGAGAAGAAAAGAGCCATTTATAAGTCTTCAAAAAAAATGTAAACAGCTTGACTTGTGATAAAATATATAGTTTTAGTTAGAAAATGCTGTCATCACTAGGAGGCTGCTGGGACTTGATCACACTAAATACACTTCTAGGTCAAACTCTAGGCTTAGGTGGGATCACACTGTGAAGGGCGGTAAACATGCTTGCCGAGGGGCCAGGGTGATGGCGCAGTTTTGAAGTGAGCATCAGGGTGGCAGCTTATCTTTCGAATGATCGAAGGACGTGGGCATCCGGGCTGCGGGTGTGGAAGGCGGGGTGGGGACCGGGGCACGCTCTGCCACGCTCCGCAGTGCATGTGTGGGTGGGGGCCTCCCGCACCTCTCTTCTGCCCTCTCCTCTCTGAGGAGCCTCCTGGTCTCCTGTGCTCATAGTGTTCCCAGCCAGGTTTTCAAGTTTTTATTTTGAAAATTCTAAACCTATGGAAAAGTTTAAAGAGGACAATGAATATCCTTCACTTAGATTAACATTTGCTCTTTCTTTCTCTGTAAATGTACATATCATCTTATTTTTTTTACTTTTGCTGAATCATTTGAGAGTAAGTGGCAGATGTCATGTCCTCTGACTCCTAATATTTCAGCATGTATCACTTAAGAACAAGGACATTATGTTAAATAACCATGATCTGTTTATCAAATACAGGAAAGCTGGTGTTGCTGCCCTGCTCTTACCTCCTGTTAGCCTGTGTTGCACTCAGCCAGGTGTCCCACGCATCGCACGCCGCCTTTAGTTGGCGCATTGCTTTCGTCTCCTCTGATCTCTAACAGCCTTTCAGTGCTTGCCTTTCATGACACTGACATTTTTAAAAGTCGGTTGTTCTAATAGAACAGCCCTCAACTTGGGTTCATGTGATTGTTTCCTTATGGTTAGTTTCGGGTTATGCCTTCTTGGCAGGAGCACCACAAAAGTGATGCCAGTTCTTCTCAGCATCACAGGTCATTTTATACCAGTGTTGGTGATGTCAGCTTCATGGGCTACACCAGGTGTGCTCCACCTGAGGCGTCCTTTCTCTGTAATTAATCCATAACTGCAGGCAGATGCTTGAAGGTTCTGCCCTAACAGGTTTCCCTAGTGATTCTAAGAGGTCCCTGATAAATCTTACCGTGGTGGACGTTACATTGATTTTCTGTATTTCCAAGCTGGTGTTGTATTCTAAAGAAAAAGTACCCCCCTTACATGACATTTGTTCATATGAGTCTAGGTGCATTGCTGTTTTTATTCAAAGGGTTACTCCATTGCTGCCGTTACTCCTTTGATGTTCAGATTGCTGTCCAACTGGCTTTTGTGTCCTTTGACATGCCCCCATCAGTTCTTTTGTGTGGGGTTCAGGTTTCTTGAGGTTAATTTGCATACAGTAAAATTTGCCCTGTTTAAGCCTATAAGTTGATGTTTTGGATGAGTACACAGTTTGTATGACAGTGTATGAGAGCAGTCAGGGTGTAGGGCATCTTTCACATCTGCAGTCAATCCCTTGCCTCTGTTCTCAGCCTCAGGCAGCCACTCTGTTTTGTTCTACAGTTTTCCTCTGCCAGAATGTTACATAAATGGAATTGTAGAGTATATTGCCTTTTGTCCAGCTTCTTTAACTTAACATTATGCAAATTTTGAGTCATCTGTTGAATGTGTCATTAGTTCATTGCTTTTTATTGCTGAGTGGTGTTCATCGTACAGACATACCACAACTCAGCTGTTAACATTTGGGCTGTTTTCTGGTGATGGTTATGAATAAAGCTACCATAAACATGTACATACATTTGTATAGGCATGTTTTCATTTCTCTTGGGTAAATATTTAGGACTAGATTTGCAGGGTTGCATGATAAATACATCTGTAACTTAATAAGATGCTGCCAAACATTTCCAAAATGGAAGTATCGTTGTACCTTCCCACCCACAATGTATGAGAGCTCGTCCTCTTCAATACTTATTGTCAGTTTTTAAAATTTTAGTCATTCGAGGAGATGTGTAGTAGTAACTAGTGGTTTTAGTCTGTATCTCCATGAAGAGTAGTGACATTGACCATCTTTTCATATTGTTTACTGTCTGTGTATCATCTTCAGGGAAATGTCTGTTCACATGTCAATTTTTTTTTTTGGATCATATTTATTGATCAAATGGTTGTTAACAACAATAAAATTCAGTATAGGGGGGTCAATGCTCAATGTACAATCATTAATCCATCTCAAGCCTAATTCTCGTCAGTCTCCAATCTTCTGAAGCATAACGAACAAGTTCTTACATGGTGAACGAATTCTTACATAGTGAATAAATTCTTACATGGTGAACAGTACAAGGGCATTCATCACAGAAACTTTCGGTTTTGATCATGCATTATGACCTATAAACAATCAGGTCAAATATGAATATTCGTTTGATTTTTGTACTTGATTTATATGTTGATCCCACATTTCTCCCTTTATTATTATTATTATTTTTATTTTTAATAAAATGCTGAAGTGGTAGGTAGATGCAAGATAAAGGTAGAAAACATAGTTTAGTGCTGTAAGAGGGCAAATGTAGATGATCAGGTGTGTGCCTATGGGCTAAGTATTAATCCAAGCTAGCACATGTCAATTTTTTAATTGAGCTTGCAGGTTCTATATGTATTCTGAATACAATTCTTTTATCAGATATTTATTTGCCAAATATTTTCTCCAAGTTTCTGGCTTGTCTTTTCATTTTTTTTCACTGTCTTCCAAAGAGCAGTAATACTTAATTTTGGTGAGGACTGGTTTGCCAAATTTCTTTTATGGCTTGTGATCACCTAAGATACCTTTGCTTAATCTGAGGTCATTCTCCTTTGTTTTCTTCTAGAAGTTTTATAGTTTCAGCTCTTAAATTTAGGTTTATGATTCATTTTGCGTTATAATTTTTATTATGCTCTGAGGTAAGAGTTGAGGTTCTTTTATTTTTTTCTTTTGTATTTGGATGTGTAACTGTCTGTATACCCTGCCTGTCTCCTCCCTCTTTAGAGCTTGAGGACTTCTTTACTTTCTGGTACAACAACATGTTTTACCCTCACTTAGAACTTTGCTTGTTCTAGTTTTGGCCTCAGTGGAGAAGGATATTCTTATAGACATGGCCTCGGTGTTCCTTCAAGGAGCTGGTTCCCATTAATGGAGAGTGGTATATGGAGACCAAGACGAGGGTGTGAGGCATGCCTTTTGCTGCTGGAGAGTCATTGCTTCCAGCCCCTATCAGCAGATAGTACTGGTAAATACTGTATTTTTAAAATCCCAAGTGTATAACTCTAAAATTTCAGCCCAGCACTCTCTGTTCCTTAATTTCCATGTTTGGATCTCCTTTTTCCATCATGAGATTCTGGCTCCCAGCAACATCAGTGTGTATTTACTCACACCATCAACCACAGACCTAGAAATAAAGTGCAAGATATCTTTGGAGTTTTTTTTTTTTAAATTAAAGTATTATTGATATACAGTCTTATGATGGTTTCATATAAACAACACTGTGGTTTTAACGTTCCACCCATATTATCAAGTCCTCACCCCCTCTATTGCGGTCACTGTCTATCAGCATAGTAAGGTGCTATAGAGTCATTCCTTGTCTTCTCCATGCTCTTTTGGGTTCTTTTATCTTCATACTGAAGATATATCAGCAAAGTATTTACGTTCCAGAGTTACTTGTCTATTGAAATAAGCTTCATATACTGTAAAATGTACATACCTTAAGTGCATCGGCCATTACGTTTTCCTAACCTCCAAAAGTCCTTGCTCCCCTGCCCAGTAATACCCACCTAGAAGATGCTGCTTTCTGCAATCACTAAATTGATTTTCGTTGTTCTTAGACTTCATGTAAAAGGAATGATGTAATATGGGTGGTTTGCTGTTGAGTTTCTCCATGTGTATCAGTAGTTCATTGCCAAGTGATAATTCACTGTATGAATATAAAACTAATTTATCCATCGTCTTGTTGACAAACATGTGAGTTGTTTCCACTTTGGAAACTATTATAAACAAACCTGCTAAGTCTTCTTGTGTACACGTGCACACAGAAGTGCTGAGTCAAAGGGTAGGTGTTTAATAAAACTTGTCAAACCATTTCCCAAAGTGATTTTACTAGGTTACACTCCCATCAGTTGTTCCACATCTTTGTCAACACTTGATATTGTTATTTGGTTTAATTTTAGCTGTTTTGGGGTGTGTGTGTGTGTGTGTTGTATTTCATTATGGTTTCAATTTGCATTTCCTGGGTGACTAACGATGGGTACTTTGTTATATATGAGATCTTATTTTATAAAGCACTTTTGCTCAAGTATTTTTTTTTCAATTGAATAATTTGTCTTTTTATTACTGACTTGTACAAGTTCTTTAAATATCCTAGATATAAGTCCTTTGTTAGATACATATGTTGCAAATATTCTATGGGTTCCCTTTATTTTTTAGGTGTCATTTGATGAGCAGATTTTATTTTGAGGAATTCCAATTTTATTTTCTTTTTGGTTGGTGTCTTTTGTGTTAAAGAACTCTTTGCCAACCTCATGGTCTTGGAATTTTCTCTGTGTTTGCTTCTGAAAGCTTCAGAGTTTCAGCGTGCACATCAGGTCTGTGTTCTAGTTCCAGTTAATTTATGCTTATTGTTGAGCTTGAGGTCATGGTTCAGCTTTTTCCCATGTGGATATTTAGTTGCTTTAATAGCATTTTTAAAAAAAAGACTTTTGATTTCCTTTGGTATGTTTGCCAAAAATTAGGAGACCATAGATGTGCCCATTTATTCTGCATTATTTTCTGCTTTATTGAGCTGTTTTATCTTTAAACAATACCATGATGCCATAGTTGCTCTTGCTTTATAGTAAGTATTGAAATCTGTAGATCTAAGTCTTCTAACTTGTCTTATCAAAGGTGTCTTGGTAATGTAAATTGGATTCAGTTTTGATTTTCCTTCTCTGTGATTGTGGAATTACTTTAACATGCACTTAGGCTTCTGTTCACATTCTGTTTTAGTGTTTTCCTCCATCTTTGATGACTTATTTTTGTATTTTTATACGTAAAACACTAAATAGTTCCAAAACTCAAGACTGTAGAAAAGATACATTCAGAAGTGTCCTATTGTTTGTCCTATTGTTTGGTCTTTCTCTCCCACTTGCTGTAGGATACTGATCCATTGGTTTCTGTTTTATTCTTCCTGTGTTTCTTTTTGCAGAAATAAGTATATAACTACGTGTGTGTGTGTGTGTGTGTGTGTGTGTGTATACACACACACAAAAGCCTTTTTCTCCTTTATGCAAAAGGTAGGGTATCATATATACTCTTTTGTATTTTGCTTTTTTTTATTTAGTATGTGCTGGAAATCACTATCAGTGCTTAGAAATTTTCTCATTCTTTTTTTAAAGCTGCATAGCAGCCACTACTGAATAAGCTCAATCTTGGCTGGAGGCTCAGAGCAGATATTAAACTTGAACTCCTTGTGCTGCAGTTATTTCTGGGCCGTGCTGGGCTTCCTCCCTGCTGTTTGCAGTGGATCACACTAAACTCAGGAGAGTCTGTGACCCTGGGGCGATGTGAGCCATACTGATGGAAGGGCAAGAGTAGAAATCATTCCCCTATTCCATGCCTATTTTGGACTCACCAGACCCAAGAATATTAGCAAGTTTGGAAAATAATAGAAAAGGGAAGAAAAGCATGCAGGATTATCACTGTTTCCTTTTGCTGACATTTATGCTCCTTTCATTTAGTGGGGCTTGTCCTCAACTGTCCTTTACCTGTGCTTCATGGGAGGTAGTGTGCTAACCAGTGTGCCCTACAGCTTGTCGTAAGTGTCTGTCACACTTTCACTCAGTCTTTCCCTCTAAAACAGGTTGCCCGGGAGAGTGGCCCACCCCACATGAAGAACTTTGTGACCAAGGTGTCAGTTGGGGAGTTTGTGGGGGAAGGTGAAGGGAAGAGCAAGAAGATTTCAAAGAAAAACGCTGCTATAGCTGTTCTAGAGGAGCTGAAGAAGTTGCCGCCCCTGCCTACAATCGAGCGAGTGAAGCCCAGAATAAAAAAGAAAACAAAATCCATGGTCAGGGTAAGAGACTTTCCGAGTGAAGAGGGTATTTTCATTGCCTTTAGGCAGTTGGAGGATTTAGAAGCTGGCTGCGGACCCCAGTGAAGGGGATGGGAGCTAACATGCCACACGCCAGGCCTGGTAGACCCTTCCCTGGGGTCACCTTGCAGAGTCCTCCCAGGAGCCCCAGGTTGGCAAAAGATAGGCCACTGAGCCAGGTTCAGGGGAAGCATCTGCAGGCGTGGCTGTGGGTGGAGGGTGTCCTCACAGCTTGCGGTCGCAGGGAGGACCCTCTGGGGAAACCCGTTAGGTGGTGCTGCCTCTGTGTCCCTGACCACTGCACTGCTTGGAACATGAGGGAGACACGTTGCACAGAACACCTTGTTCTGTTGGATTTTTCAACCATGTTAATGAACCTGTCAAAAACTATGCACAATCCCACCAACCCCAAAGAAGGGACTCCTTTCTTTGCTAGGGTCAGCTCTGTTACAATTATCAGTACAGTTTCATGCTATTGAGGCCCAATACACAAAAGATAGCATAATGTATGTATTTCAGTGCAGTTCCCTTTTCTTCTTAATGTATAGATGTCCTTAATAGAAGTCACTCCCTATCACTGAGTGAGTGCGGATTCCTTGGCACTAGGGGTGGCCAGCCATGAAGACCTGTGAGCTTTAGGTTCTTGCCATGTGGTGTCAGCTTGAGATTTTTTTTAGTTTTTGGATTTTCAGTTGTTGTTAAGAAAGCTGGGAATCCATCTTATAATACAGATCTTAGGGGGTTTTAAGAATAACATTCTGTATAGTGTTTCTACCTCTTCATTCACTGTACTGTAGAAATTTATTGTCAGTAAGCAGATGTTACAGTGATACTTGCTTACTCATGAAATACTAATGTTGATTGGCTATGACCTTAAAGTCACCTCAGAGCAGTCATAGGAAATCGTTAAGCATCTTTTAGTTGAAGAAAGGTAAAAAAAGATCTAATTCTGAGCCAATTAGATCAACAGCAATCTTCTGTCATGTCTTAATCTCTGAATTGGCACAGTCCTTTCTGTGACTAACGTGGCACATGGGTTCTATACTAATTGTTTCTCCACTGCAGAGCAGCCCAGAATATGGCCAGGGGATGAACCCAATCAGCAGATTGGCCCAGATCCAGCAGGCAAAAAAGGAGAAGGAGCCAGAATACATGCTCCTCACAGAGCGAGGCCTCCCACGCCGCAGGGAGTTTGTGATGCAGGTGGGTTGGTACAGGCTGTGGGCAGCCTTTCCTGACGTCTAATCTCGGGGCCTGTTGAGGTCCAGTGGGCTTCTCCCTGCCTTTTAAAACCAAGGTTGCTTGCAGTAGTTTGATGCCTTAAAACATGTACTTGAGTGCACACCACATGGGCAGCTGTACCAACAGGTAGGAGCTTGGACATACTGTGTTCATTTGTAAGAATGCTGGAGGGGTGGAATTGTGGATGGTGTTTTTTTCTTCATTATAGCTCCTTGATTTCAGAAGGCAAATGTTAAAAGTCACATCAAAGGATCTATTCCTCCTCCTTCTAATCCTGTAGAATCTGGGGTTGGCTCTTCTTTAGATTGAGGTTACACCTCAGATTAGTAGAGTATTTCTCTTAATTTATTAAACAGCTATTCACATGGGCAGCTCAGTTTAATTGTTATTTGAGTTTAATGGTGTTTTCAGGTTTTCTGATGAGAAATAGAATACTTAACTCTGTGGAGCAGTTTCCGCCTTACAGAGCACCTTCACTTAGCCTGGTGGCTTTGCCCACCGGTCAGCAGCAGGATAAGCTCAGACCTTCCTGTCCCGTGAGAGGCTGTAGCAGCTTGGGGAGAGGGGCAGTGCTTTGCCTGAGCTTTAAGAGCTGGCAGCCGCCAGGCTAGGATGCAACCCCAGGCCCCTCTTCACAGGCCAGGGAAGGTTTCCTGGACTCTCTCAGTCTTGTGACATGGGGCTTCTGGTTTTGGTCTGTGGTCAACACCATCTTGGAAGAGGATCATGAGTTGGAGTATGTTTAACAGCCAACTCTGAAGGGTGCTGCCTGCTGGGAGGAGTGTGGGTCTATATGCATAGGCATGTGCTACATTCCACTGATAGAAAGGATTGTCGCGCACAGTTTACAAGTAATATATAATATATATGATAGTCTTCGCTGTCAATTTCATACTTTTAACTTTGGTGTGACTGTCACCAAAGGTGGTATTATCACATCAGACTACATGTAATATCCAGGTCAGCAAAGGTGCTGCTCTTGTCAGTGACGAGTATATAGAGCTGTAGCCTAAGCATTGGTTGATACTTTCATTTACAACAACAAGCAAGATGAAAGTACAGCGAAGACATGTTGGAACTTCACTCATTTGTAAACAATCAGTGGCTTCTCTGCTGAATCAGATCGTTTTTTCAAAGAACAGAAGAATGTTTAAGGTTTTTTTGTTCTAGTTACAGTATCATGGCTGCAGATTTGACAGTTTGTAAACTTAATCTGCATTAACCTTTTCTCTGTTGCTGAAGTCTAGAATGTCAACAAAACAACTTAGTCCTTGATGTGTGCAGTAGTCCTTGATGTTGTAGTGGTCTGCAGCCTCCCCCGTGGCCATTTTCAAGCTCTTAGATCTGATGAGAGCTGGGAAGAGCCGTACAGCCACACGCCACCATCTGTAGTATTTCCCCCGTGCAGAAAGAACAGATATAAAGGATCTCGAAAGCATAGGCAATTGTAAAATGTAGTTGAATTAGGAAGTGAGAGTTTTAAGTATACATTGCCTCTATTATTAAGATTTGTTTAATTATAAGCTTATGTAATTTAATGTTTAATAATGGCTACTTCTATCAGCCTACTTTCCAAATTTCTGAACTAACTGGCTCTGGCAGGCTCCAGGACAGCACTGTGAAGCTGTTTAGCTTCTGACAGTTGCTGGATTCTTTTGCTAGGACATCAATTTCTGATGGTCTTTGATGTGAAGGTTTTAAGCACCGATCTGAATCCTGACTTCTTTTGCAGGTGAAGGTGGGAAATCATACCACAGAAGGAGCGGGCACCAATAAGAAGGTGGCCAAACGCAATGCAGCCGAGAACATGCTGGAGATCCTTGGTTTCAAAGTCCCGCAGGCTCAGCCCACAAAACCAGCCCTCAAATCAGAGGAGAAGGTGACTGCTTAGCTCTGTGTCCTTGCTCTCTAATTGCAAGGTGACCTTCTTGCCTCATCCTAGGGGGGCTCTGGCACCTCTAGGAACAAGCTGCAGGGCAAGGCTCCATCTTGCTGGCAGTAAAGCGGTCCTCCTGAGCAGTGTCTTACCCGTGTGAACCACTTTCTAATGTAGTCAGAGGGGAGTTGCCTGTCCGTGGCTTCAGGCTTGACTCTGGGTTAAGTCATTTTGGTTTTGGTCTTTGTGGTTTGGGATGCTTTGCTGGAGGGCAGCTGGCTCCTATCTTTTTTGTAGGATGTTATGTAATTGGACTTGAAATTAAGGAATGTGTGGTTCTGTAATTTGTGTTCTTAGAATAAGGCCTGCATAAAAGATTGATCAACCTATGCTTCTGTTAGTTGTGGAATAGGCTTTGGTTTTTCTGGGACACTGAGACATTGTGATTTATGGAACTAAATCCATAGTTTAGATTAAGGATCTTTTTTTTCTTTATGAATTGAACATGAAATAAAAATACCACCATATTGAAAATTGTGCTTCTGCCGAGATGCTTAAGCAGTACTCTCAATGAAATCCTTGCCTGACCACATTTCCAGTCACTGGATGGTCCTGTAGGGAGACACTTGGAAATACAGGACTGATTGCCTCACATGCGGCAGCCATGTCAGCAGTGAGAAATGGCATCTGTGATAGCCACATAGTTAATACCAGGGACCCCAGAAATGCATCAATCTGCATAGATCCTGGACTTGGCTTTTGGGTTTTCTACTCTAAAGTCTTGTAGAGCATTCATAAGCATCTTTACTGTCTCAGAAAGGAGACCTGAGTTTGACAGAATTTTATCTCATAACAATTTCCCCCTTTGTTATGGTCAAAAATGTCACCATCTCTTTTAATTGGGTATTAGCTCCAGGAAATACTCTTTGTTTAGCCTCAGTCTGAAAGCTGCTTTCCCCACCTTGGGCTCCAGCAATCTAGCATCTCTTGCTCCTTCTGGTTAAACGTTCCCCTGTTCCTATGAGCGCTGGGCCAAGGCTCAGCCTCTGGTCAGTGTGCTTTGTTAGGTGCTCTTTGTGGACACAAGAGCGCTGGGAGAAGGGGCGGCAGAAGCCCCCAGCAGTCGGGATTTGGGATGGGGCTTTTCTGTGGATTGACTGCCACTTCATAGTTCAAGTCTAAGACCCTAAGATTAATGCTGGCTGGAGTTTGTGTAGTTTTAGACACCAGGCACCAATTTTTCAGTAGCTTGATTTATATTCATGGCCTTTTTTTTTAAGACACCAGTAAAGAAACCAGGGGATGGAAGAAAAGTTACCTTTTTTGAACCTGGCTCTGGGGATGAAAGTGGGACTGGTAAGTGTGATGTTAATATTTTGTTGATCTGAATGTAATTCTGGGATTTGCATGATGCCCAGTGAGTGTGTTATGATGAGCAGTGTTAGCTTGACATCATCTCTGTGCCACTGTGTGCACTGAGGGAGGGCCGGCGTGGGGTTGTGTAATGACTTTCCAGGCAGGGCTTGGTCCATTTGTCTGTGTGTCTCCCTAGGCAATAAAGAGGATGAGTTTAGGATGCCTTATCTTAGTCATCAGCAGCTGCCCGCTGGAATTCTTCCTATGGTGCCTGAGGTCGCTCAGGCTGTAGGAGTCAGTCAAGGACATCACGCCAAAGACTTCACCAGGGCAGCTCCAAACCCTGCCAAGGCCACGGTAACTGCCATGATAGCCCGTGAATTGTTGTATGGGGGCACCTCGCCCACAGCCGAGACCATTTTAAAGAATAACATCTCTTCAGGCCACGTACCCCACGGACCTCTAACAAGACCCTCTGAGCAGCTGGATTATCTTTCTAGAGTCCAGGGATTCCAGGTAACTGTTAGGCCTGAGATGTGTGGTTTGTACCGCAGTGCAGTTGTCTTTCTTTGGTTTCTCTCAGAAAATGAGCTTTGTGCCTGTTTTTTAAATCAAGTTCTTTGTCCAGGGGAATGGGTTGGTGAATCGTGGGTAAAAGGCTGGTCCTGAGGGTGGGGGAGATACGGAAAGTATTGCAAGCCTTTATAGTAAGAGAATTTTCTTGTCCTTCAATAAAATTTTAAAAATCCAAGCCCACAATGACAAAGCCTGTAATGCTAGTGGTCCTTACCAGGTTAGACTTCAGCACGAACAGATTCATTGTGTTGGCCCTTTCTGCCTGGTAGAAAAGGACCTGGCTTCTTCCAGACCTTAGTTATTGTGTAGACATCTAGGTTCCTAGAAGATTCTGGAAGCTGGAGCCCTGATCTCCTGCCTATAGCCCTCAGTGCCCCTTAGCATTAGGCCCGTCTGACAGTCTCCTGTGGTGACTGAGGAGTTGGTGTAGCTGTGTCATCTACTTGCTGGGCCTGGAGCCTCAGCCCTCTGCCCTGTTCACATTTACCGCCTCTCTACCCTTTCCTCAGTGTTCTTTTCTCCCTTAGGTTGAATACAAAGACTTTCCCAAAAACAACAAGAACGAATTTGTATCTCTTATCAATTGCTCCTCTCAGCCACCTCTGATCAGCCATGGTATTGGAAAGGATGTGGAGTCCTGCCATGATATGGTATGTTAAGGCCCCCAGCGGGCCTGCCCCAGCTTGTGGCTGGCCTTATGGAGATAGGAAGTCCGGTTGACTTTGATTGTTTATAGACTTCATATTTCTGAAGACTTTTTTCCTTCGTTTATTGGATTGATTTCTCATTCTCTTCATCAGAACTTACCAGCTTTCGCCAACCCTTCCCTTGCCCATGCTGATCTGGAGGGGTGGGATGGGGTCCTTATGCTATACACAGTTATTTCTGACAGAATAAGAAATTGGGGCCAAAGTTCTGGCAGCTGCAGAAAGCCCCATATTTTGTCATTCTGTGAGAAATACTCCCAATTACTGTTTATGAAAAACTGGGTACTGGTATTGATTAAATTAATCTAGGTGATTTGTGGTATATTCACTTGATGGAATCTCATGCATCCGTCTCTAATGTATTCTAACAAGAAAACACAACAGGTTTGTTTTAAAGTGCAATATAAAATTGTACAGTTTAGTTACCACAAGGTTAAAAATACTAGAAGGAAATATATAATAAAATTAACAGAGGTGATGATTCATTGAGGTAACCATGGGTAATTAATTTTTTTAATTTGTATTTTAAAGGAAAAATTCAAACAGTAAAGAAAAGGGTTGTTTGTGGGGCTGCCTGTTTTGTTGGGCAATCAGGAAATCACTTGCCTCCCTGGTCGGATAGCATCTTGGGCTGTAGTCCTGAATTGTGGCCATCTTTGACTTGTCTTTTCATCCCTGCTAGGCTGCACTGAACATCTTAAAGTTGCTGTCTGAGTTGGACCAACAGAGTACAGAGATGCCAAGAACAGGAAATGGACCGATGTCTGTGTGAGTGAGCTGACTTCATGAACAGGCGCTTGTTTTCTTCACTGACATTCAGCTCAAACTGCTCAACTCCTAGTGGAACCCTTGCCTCAGTCACTTTCTGTCTCTTTCCTCTGAAAGGTTTCCATGTTTTGGGGCAGAGCTCTATTTTGTTTTTTTAAATTTTAAATAGGTCATACATTCACATGGTTAAACAATCAAAATGTTAAAGGTACATGGTGATAAATCCTGCCCCCATGCAGTTCTCATCCATTTCATTTTCCCACCGCAAAAGCACATTTTTATTAGTTTCTTATGTATCTTTCCTCTAGGATTCTTTATGCAAATATAATCACCAAGTTACTTTCCTCCATCTCCCCTCCCTCCCTCCCTCCAGGGTGACATACTATGCACACATTACCCTCCTTTTTTCACTTGATGGTATATCCTGGGGGAACTTCATATTAATCCAGTTACCATAAGCAGGGACTTGACCTCTGTTGTCAGGGGCCTATTATTGGACTTCACTATTTACTAATCTCTTTCCATTTTTAACATGGGCTTAATTCTTTTAAATGTCAAAACTGGTGTCATTTTCCTTTTTTTTTCTCTCCTTAAAGGTATGGGAGGTGCTGAACCTTTTCTGGCCACAAGTTATTATAATATCCCAACATATACTGAAAATACTGAAACTGCTTTGAAAGTTTGGAATTTCTGATACCTGCAGTGGGCCGAGAGGCATGATGGGTAAAGAACTGGAGGCGGCAGTGGTGATGAAGGCGGGAACAGAGGCGGCTGTGGCTGTGCACACACGTGCTGTGGTTTGTCCTCACACAGCTGCAGCTGCTGCCAAGTGGCCCTGGCTCAGCTAGGACCCCAGCAGGCCCACACCCGGGCACCTCAGTGCTTGGTTGTGGTTTCTTGTTTTACTTTTTGGCTGTGTGAAAGAAGAAACAGAAAACAGAAAGCACGACCCCTTCTCAGACTGGCTCACTCAGATGCTTTGGGACAAACCCTGGAGACAGGCCTTAGACCGGCCCTAGAGGTGAAAGCACCAGAGAAAATCCGATGCTTCCTACTCAGCACAAACTAGCCTTCCCAGTGTGCTACGGCCCACCGCCTCCCGGGGCGCCCACACCCACCACTGCTCTCTCTTCTCAAAGAGATACGTATTCTTAGTTTTATCATTATTTTTGATTGAAATGACACTATATAAATTTTCATTTGAGACTTTCTCAGTTGTATCTAGTTACATAGCACAGTTTAGAAACTTGTCTGAGACTGACTTTATCAGTAGTCTAACCGGCAAAGATCATATCCATGTGTGTGTGCTTACACATTTTTGTTGTATTGGGCTAACCCAGGACCATTGCAGTGATGCGGATGGTGTGAACAGTCCTAGCCTTCTCAGAAACCTTAATGAAGCTTCCCACAGTTGTGTAAATTGGACAATATAGAAATTTTAAACTTTAAATGCTCATTTGGTTTCTTTTTTATTTTTGTTAATGCAATAGGACTTAAACAAATGAACTCTGATCTTTGTTTTAAAGATTAAGAAAAATTGTGTGTATATACATATGTCTGAGGGCACATAGCTCTCACTACACTACAAGATATGATCTCCAAGTAGTACATATCGAACTGCAGATTGACTTTCCTTGAGTGCTTTATACTGTTGATTACATCTCCATGTAGGGCTGAAAATGACCTGTTTCTCACTCAAACTGTGTTGCTTTTGGTGTTGTGTTACTGTGCACAGAGACATATGCAGTGAGGTCCTGCATATGGTTCCGATGGGTGCGTGGTAGCCTTGCGAGTTAAGTATTGCTTTCATTGTTTACGCTGGAATTTTTTCTCCCCATGGAATGTAAGTAAAACTTATTATTTGTCACCAATAAATGGTAATACTAAATTTCTTTTGTTAATTTATTCTCAAATGCCACTACTGCTAGGTTGGTCCCCTCCCAACCTGTCTCCTACCTTTTTTTATTTTTAAGAAAAAACAACTTTGTAATGCTTGTGATTCCATTTGGGCAAAATTCTGAAGATCTGAAATACCTTTATATCAAACTATTGATCAATAAACAGCTACTAATGAATTTTTGGTCCTTTTGAGCAGTAACTAAAGGGAAGGTGTGAGGGTGCAGAAGCATGACATGGGGGCGTCCTTGCCAGTGAGGCATGTGGGCGATGGAAGGAGACGCCTCTCATCTGAACTTGACATTGTTACTCAAAGAAGTGGTCCAGAGGAGAGACTTCCTGACACTTGGGAGAGTCCCTTCACCTCCCTCAGGTGCTTTTGCACTCTGGCTGAGGAGTGGGCTGCTGGCTTTTTTTTTTAATTTTAGAAGATGGTCATAAAGGTCATTCACTATAAAACCAGCCCATGGATTGAACTGCCAGAAAAACCAAAAAAGTGGTCAGGTGATTATGGAAAAATACTTAGGGGGTAAAAGGGGATTCAGTATTGTAAGGGAATAAAAGCAGTGGAAGGAGACATTCCTGGATTCAGCTGTTTCTCCTAGGAGCCCTGGTCCTCTTTGGTGACAGCATCTAGAAACCCAAGATCTGGGTGCTCTTGAGTGCCCATAGCTTTTGGGGTGTTATTTCTAGGCTCTCTTGAGCAGACAGGAAATGTCTGTATGTATGTAAGTGTGTATATGTATATGTATACATGGATACGTGTGTATGTATATAGAAAAGCCTTGTTTATGCTGACCTCCAGCACCTCGAGTCTTAACAGCTGTGCCCCTGGATTCAATATTGAGGTGGTAGTCAGTCTCCCAGCCTTGGAAAGATGTCCAGATGGGATTTCCTTGAATGTCAGTAGACTGTAAACTCAAACTAGCCTTGACTTCAGGAAGAAGGCCCTGTAGCTGCCATGTCTTGCTGAGAAGACTCACTCACCTACAGGGCTTCCATCTCACCAGGCTTCGAGAGCGCGGCCTAAGAGTCGTTTGTGTAATGCTGGCACACCTGCTGGTGGGACTGTGTTGTTCTATAGTATCTGCCTTAATTGTGCATTTGCTCTGGCTGCCAAAAGGCCTCCCTGTGAAGTGATCTGAGATCCTCTGTGATTTATGAGCCCCTTGGGCTTTTGTCTTTCTGTGCAGATAGCCCCTGGGGGGATTCTGTCTGGCAGGTGTCTCTGTCCTATGTGCCTGAAAGTTCTCTGGGCCCTACCACCTCGGTACTTTCCCGGCTGGCTCGCTCCTTAGTTTCACAGGCAGGAGCAGCATGGATGTGGTTGAAGGCTGGACCAGACTCAAGGAATCTGGAAATGCTCAGACCTCCCTCCCCTAGCCCAGAGAACTGTTTTTGGCCATGCTGAATGGCTTATTAATTTGGGGGAATTAGGGCCTAGAACACATTGACAACTGGTCTCTCCCCCCAAATTCCTGAAGTCTGAGTGGCCTCAGACCTGGCCCAACTTTCTGAGATGGTTGACAACCTCTGATGTTACTCCCCTTGGCCAGGTACCGTCTCCCAAGGCCAGGGAGCAGCATAGTAGCTGGCGGACTTTCACGCGGAAGAGGCTCAGTGCTGTGAAGAGCACTTGTGAAGAGGTTACCTCATGAAGGGCCGTGATGCTGTAATGGAGGTGGGTGAGCATTCACATTTGGCAGAATGTAAGAGGAGAAATCAAAACCAAAGCTGGTTGGAGGCCTTCTGAGCAAGCAAGGTAGTGTGCTGACGCGAACAGCCGCACGCACTGAGTTCTGTCACCCCTTCCCAGAGACCTTGGACAAATAGTTCGCCTCTCTGCCTCAGTTTCCTTATCTGTAAATTGGAAGGAACTTGTCTCACAAAGTTAACACAACACATGTAAGTGGCTGAGTGCCCAGTGCTTTAAGTAAACATCATCTGTTTTTCTTAAGGCCCAGAGACACTGAGAAACCAGCTGCTTCAAGTTTGCCTTCAGTCCCTCCACTCAGGGTGGCCAGCGGAGAGGAATTTTTCTGGTTCCCTAAAAAGTTAAGTCTTCTTTTTCTTCATTCTTTCCAGCTCTCAGGGCTCTTCCCCTCATTGGAACGCAGACCCTCCCAGCCCATGTCCAAGTCTCTCCCAAGAAAGTGTAAACAGATTCCATGAGAGCAAGCAAGAATCTATATCCGTCTCAGCTGTAGTTGGAGGGAGTGGGTGATTCTGAAAGGGGCCCACTTGGGCCTATGGCTCCTACCTGCCATAGTTGATTACCTTTTATGCAAAACCAAAGCTGTTGATTTCATACTTTTAAATGTGATCCTGTTCATTTTTGAGGCCTGAAGCTTAAACCATATTCTTCGACAGTGTTCAGAGGTTTTGCTGTATCCATGTGTCTTTTTGATTAACTTTTACTTAGCTTCATTCTAAGCTACTGTTCATCAGCATCAGATCAGCCAGAGGGCTGTTAAAAGTTCGCTGGGGCCCACTCCCAGAGTCCCTGATGCAGCAGGACTGGAGCTCAGAAAGTGTTTCTAATCAGGTCCCAGGTGATGCGATGGTACTCTGAGAACCATAGCCTTAAGCAGTAACATGCAAGGAATTGCTAATGATTTTATCAGTTGTAGTTGTTTGTTTATATTAGGATTTCTGTGGATAGCACCATAAGTCCTTTGAATCATTTTGAGAAATGCCTTTGGCTAAATGGAGGGCAGCACTGGCCACACTGCTTCAGACATATTTCAGTTGGCTCTGTATAGACTGCTGTCCAAGCCCAGAGCCAGTGTGTCTTTGGGTGGGATTGGACTGAAGGTGGCTTCCTATGCAGCCTGTTAGGACATTGGGAGGACTAGACTGGTGGCCTGGGCAGAGGATCAGAACTAAGGGCGAGGTGTTCATGTGGCTGAGCGTGTGGAATACCCAACCTAGTCCAGGGCGCTCACCCACTTTTTTCCTAGGCAAGGTTTGGACCTCCTGACTGGCCAGGATGCCCAGCAGTCATCATGGTGGTAGGGACTTCCTCGTTCTAGCCTCAGGTCAGTGGTCATGACGGGAGGCTCTCCACATCCGGCCAGCTCCAGCTCCCCTTGGGGCCTCAGGAGAGGGGCTGTGCAGCCATCTGGACACCAGACCTGCTGTGGCTGGGCGTGGCTGGGCCTGTTAGGCTCCTCCTCCCTCTGCCCCACTTAAGAGACAGGTCAGTACCCGTTTTCTTAGCTAGTGTTCACTAAGGAAGCCCAGGTTCCTGGGAAGAGCAGTCATTTCACCTCCAGACTCAGGGGTTGACACTAACTTCTTGGAAGGAGCTGGACCCTTTTTCCTGGTGCAAGGTCAGCACTCTCTCATAACATTTCCCGCTCCACCAGCACATCTGGGAAACTTCTGCGCCGTGCCTTGCACGGCATTCTTCACATGGACAGTGCTTCCACATGGTCAAAAGTTTTCCTCACATCATCCAGTTAATACAGGAGGAAACACAGAAATAGGCAAATGACTTAATACGCTTAGTGACAGTCTTCTCCAGCCACACAACACACAAACATTTAAAAATGGCTGTTACCACCTGCCATGCAGCAACCCCAGCGGGAGCTGTCTGCTCATGGGCAGTGTGTTCCTGTATTACCAGGGGTTCTTAGCTCATTTATCAATCCACTGATAATTGCCTCAACGTATTTTCATTGAGTCCACGAAGCTCCTCTGTCCTACCAGAGTAGCCTTAAGTCTGCCCACCCACTAGAGTGGACCCAAGTTTGCAAAAGTTACACATCTGGGCCACCAAGTTTCTCCAACAGGGAATAAAAGGTCACAATCATTATCAGCAGTGACTCCCTATCGTGCCGTTATTAACTGACTGCCTGTTTCTAAGTTTTCCCATGGCATAGTTGCTAAGCCTTGTGCACTGGAATTCATGCCGCCTACATGTGAATCCCAGTTCCAGCCAGCTGTTTGACCTGGTAAGTTCGTATACTTACCAGAAATAAAGATTGTGGACCTGTCAGATTCTTAGACCAAAGACTTGGTTTCTATGGATGAAGAGCGAGGCTCAGCTGGGACCCTAGCAATCTGCCCTGAAGAACCACCATGGCCTACAAGAGCCAGTAAGCTGGAAAAAGAATGTCACGGAGACAAGTGGAAGAGATGCTATGCCACACTCAGAATGAAGAAGAAAGCTAAGTAACTCCAGGAAAAAAAAGACAACACAAGTAACAAGCTAAAATGGAGCATGGCTTTGAGCAACTGATGGAGTATGAGGGGAAAAACCAATCCATTTGACCTTGACTCTTAAAACTCTGTTTTGAGGTGTGCAGAAGTCAAGACATTGGACCTGGGGAAGAGGAAATGTAATCTTGACACACTTCCTGGCCCACCCAGCATACAATGAAACACCATCTCCTGTGACTGTGAACATGGGAAGGTAGTGCAAGGAGAGCCTCATTCTCAATACCAAGGATTCAAGAGACAATGGCCAAGGTTGATGGAGCAAGGGTTAAAGTATAAAAAGAACCATAAAATGTTATTACTTACTAATAAAAACAAAACCCATAAACCTAGGAGGTTTATGAAAAATACTAATTTTTCATAAAATAAATTATTTCAACAGATACCTTAAGGTTGATGTATCAAGATCAAAGTCAGAACTAAAGGCAGCACTAGTTGAAGCTGTTGCTGGTTCTTAGCTCATTTATCAATCCACTGATAATTGCCTCAACGTATTTTCATTGAGTCCACGAAGCTCCTCTGTCCTACCAGAGTAGCCTTAAGTCTGCCCACCCACTAGAGTGGACCCAAGTTTGCAAAAGTTACACATCTGGGCCACCAAGTTTCTCCAACAGGGAATAAAAGGTCACAATCATTATCAGCAGTGACTCCCTATCGTGCCGTTATTAACTGACTGCCTGTTTCTAAGTTTTCCCATGGCATAGTTGCTAAGCCTTGTGCACTGGAATTCATGCCGCCTACATGTGAATCCCAGTTCCAGCCAGCTGTTTGACCTGGTAAGTTCGTATACTTACCAGAAATAAAGATTGTGGACCTGTCAGATTCTTAGACCAAAGACTTGGTTTCTATGGATGAAGAGCGAGGCTCAGCTGGGACCCTAGCAATCTGCCCTGAAGAACCACCATGGCCTACAAGAGCCAGTAAGCTGGAAAAAGAATGTCACGGAGACAAGTGGAAG